TGTGTGTGTGTGTGTGAAAGAGCTCTGAAGGACCTTTGTGGCAGAGAACACCTGTTAGTTAACCAATATTCAAAACTTATTAATTTTCCAAAAATTACAGTAATGTGACAACTGTGAAATAATTTATTATCAAAGCGAAGAGGAGAGAGAGAGAGACAGAGAGACAGAGAGAGAGAGAGAGAGAGAGAGAGAGAGAGAGAGAATAGGGACATGGGAGACGAGCCCTATTGTCCATTCAACTGCCCCTAAAACATGACCATTCACTATAGTAGTGTAAAAAAATTTCTAGTATAGATTAAAAATAATAATATAAAGACTATTTTAATGCACAGACACATATTTTATTTCATTGTTTTATGTCTGTATTTTCTTCATTTGATCTCTACATTTAATCCTTTACCTAAAATGTCTCTTCAGGCCAGCAGACTCCTGGCCCTAACACCGTGAGGCCAAACCCGGGAGTGACCACCAGAAGACCAGTAATAAGCCCAAGACCAGGCTACATTGGTAAGTTGGACAGTTAAAGAGTTATTGTCCACCTTTGAACAATCTTCCCAAAGGATATCTTCTTCTGGTGAGAAAATTCTGGATGGGGTATCTGTAAGTTCTGAACATTGCTGGGAATTTTAAAAAATGTCCTAGGGGGATTTGATATACTATGGTGCTTGATGGTAAATCAAATGTAAAAAAATTGACAATTAAAAGTTCTTGTTGCCCTCTTTTTGTTCCAAATTTTTACCCTCCCTCTCCTGAAATACTTAAACTGGTGTGTGTATGCCAATCATGCACAAATCTCATGGTAAGAATCAGTAGCATATTATGTATGTATACAGTATTTATTTCTATATTTTAGGTTTCTGCCTGTACAATAAAGTTCAGTACCGCCAGGGTGAGAGTTGGGAGGACGGCTGTGAATACACTTGCGTCTGTGAAGACGAGTCCACTGGATATTACAAGTGCAAAAAGAGGTGGGTAAAAAGACAGCCAGGGAGTGTTAAGGATATAGAAAACTTCTTTTTTTTCTTTTTGCCTCTTGCCAAATGGCTGATTTAGAGGAAAGTAGCAGTCTGGTCTATCAGAACAGAAATGCACAAACAATTAGTTTGTTGTTATTTGTTTTATCTGCACCCTGGGTGTGACAGTTAATGGAGACAGTGCAATTGTGTGTAGGCGAGAAGTTGATTCTGCAAGTTGAGAGACAGTAGAGAGATTTCTCTTCTGGATTTATCCAGATATTTTAGTGTGGAATTTCTGTCCCCAGATCCTCCCTCCCCGTCATGTAGAGCTGTGTGCTTTCCTGTCCTTGGCACTTGCATTTTCCTTATTTTTCGTAAGGTCCACATTAATCTCTGACTGTCTTCAGACTGGTATACTTGGTAATAATTAATTTTTTGTCCTTTTCCTCCAAACGAACAGAAATAAAATGAATTAATAAATAAATTCATTTGGCAAAATAACAATATACTGATACGATGAGTCGGTATCATTTGTTTCAGATGTCCACAGTTCTTGTCCATGCCAGAGGGGTGCAGGCTGGTTCAGGACCCGAAAGACGCCTGCTGTCAGACCCCGGTCTGCGGACCACAGCCTGGTGTGACCACGCCAAACCCGAATCCGAACCCATTCAGACCCACAACCACAGTGAAGCCAGTACAAAGTAAGGGGTTTTTCTTGTCTTTTAAATAGGGACAGAAGACTGTGCATGTTCATTTTTTTTTTTGCATTCTTCTTTTTTTTTCACTGCCAGGATTGTTTGATGAAAGAGATCTGACGAATTGCTTTGTATTTTTACTATTGAATGAAACTTAAGTACAGAGTAAAAAAATTTCAGCTTATATTGATTGATTAATAATATTGTTTCCCTGCAAAGGGGAACATATCTTCAACTTTCAAAATCATGAACAGGAAAGGTTTGCATGTTATATATTTTGATTCTAAACTGTAGTGAGTGGGAATAATTTTCAATTAATTTGATATTCCTTGGTTTCCATAATTTTCTTTTAAATGAGACGATTTTGCTTGCTTAATTAATGAATTAATAGGTTTGCTTATTTCAATCACTGCATATATTGTATTAAATTAAAACTTTATCATAAATTGGAGCAAACTTCATTTTCATTCTTTTTCCCTACAAGGTCGTAACTGTGTCTATAAGGGCAAAGTTTACCAACATGGCGAGCAGTGGCAAGATGGCTGTGCTGTAGATTGTGTTTGCTACGATGGTTACCAAGGATTGTACAGGTGCAGTGATAGGTGAGTCCACTAATTAAAAACCAATAAGGGTGGGAAAAAATGATTTGAGGTGAACTTTAAATCACATAGATACCCTGGTGTGTATATTTTATTTTCAAAAGTGAACATGTATGGCACATTCATGGATTAAATATAAAATTTAGCTTGTGTTCTGTAGATCTGTTAATTTTTTCTATATCTGCTTAATTAATCTTGATCACTGTTAAGATTTGTGTTGAACTTTCAGGTGTCCGCAGTACCCCAACTTGCCATCTACTTGCACTTTGGTGACAGATCCAAATGATCGTTGCTGCAAGATTCCCTCCTGTACAAATCCAGTCACTCCAAACCCGGGCCAGACACCTTTCCCAGGTGTGGTGACACAGAAGCCAGTTGTGGTGACATTTAGACCAAATCCGGATGGTAACGTCACCCCAAGACCAAATCCAGGTGGTAATGGCACTCCGGGACCAAATCCAGGCACTCCGGGACCAAATCCAGGCGCTGTTACCACTAACCCAGTCAGCAGAAGTATGTCAATATGATTGAATCTATAACTTCCTAATATCATTCCAATAATATCTTGATTTTTTATACTACTGTAACAACATTAATTTTAAATATGTCTAACAGACACTGTTACACCTCCAAACTTTCTCCCTAAATTGATCCCCCCCCCTAAAAAAACAAGAAAAAGGGGCCTCTTTGCAACCCCACAAATGAAATTTGTGCAAAATTGTTGGTAAATAATAACTTTTGCTGACTCGTCGCATCATAATTTTTAGGATGATGAGTCTCATTGAATATTTGATATATAATTTTTATCCCTAAGGCCATAACATTTAATACAGGCAACAATTTGCTACATTGTTATTATTGTTAAAACGATTAGGATAGAGGGGTTATATAATAAAAGCGGCCTGGTTTGGCCAAATCACGAACAAACAATATTCCTTGTTACCTTCTTTCTTGCTATGAATGAGACTTTAAAAGTTTGTGGTACACTGAGATGGAGGAGACATAAAAAAACATGATGCAATATGTCAAAAATTTATTGAGTGCAATATGCCACAAATTTGTTGTACTTACATTATTTGTAATGATTGCCTTTAGGGATATTTCGAAATTGAATTGATTTCAACAGAACCTAATCATTGCAGTCCGTTAGTGTGACATTAATACAGATACTCTTCCTTTGATATATTAAATATTCTATGTTGTAGATTACTGTGTGTACAATGGAGTGACATATAGACAGGGTGCCACTTGGCAAGATGGCTGCACATACAACTGTGTGTGTGTGGATGAGGTAACAGGACAGTACAGATGCACAGAGAGGTACTTTTTACAACATTGTATATCATTTTAAATCATAGAGCTCCCAGTTTAATTTGAAAGAAAAATTGAGAATTGCTGAATCAGTGTATGTGTGAGTCAAATTGACGTTACGTTAGTATATACCAGCAGACTAATATAAAATTAAGTAAACATCAACATTTATTTTGGTTTTCATACATATTTATCATCTCTTTCATTTTTTTCATTTTAAGATGCCCTCGCTACGCTCAACTGCCAAGCAATTGCTACTTGGCACAGGATCCAAATGATCCTTGTTGTCAGAAACCTGTCTGTACAAATCCAAATCCAGTCACTCAAAAGCCTAATCCGAACCCACAGACCCCCAAACCAGGCCAGACACCTTACCCAGGTGTTGTGACTCAGAAGCCAGGTGTGGTGACATTTAGACCAGGTGGTAACGTCACCCCAAGACCAAATCCAGGAACTGTTACCACTAACCCAGTCAACAGAAGTAGGTCAATCTTCAGCTACTTGAAAACAGAAGAAAATATTATGATTTGATTTAAAAAATTCAATTTGTAAGGCAGAGACTACACATTATGGCTTTTACACCCTCAATTTTACCAACAACGTCAATCCATACATTTGAACAAAAAATCTATTTCACAAAATGTATTTATTTTTATAGGATCCATCAGTGTAAGAATAATATAAATAATCATTTTTGATATATTAAATATTCTTTGTTTTAGATTACTGTGTGTACAATGGAGTGACATATAGACAGGGTGCCACTTGGCAAGATGGCTGCACATACAACTGTGTGTGTGTGGATGAGGTAACAGGACAGTACAGATGCACAGAGAGGTACTATTTTTTGCACAAGATCACCAATGTTTGGTTTTTTAGATTTTCTCTTTTTAAAATTTTGTGTTAGAAAAAAGGTTTTATTATTAAATTTTCTGCAAAGTATATTCTATATGCTGTTTGACTGTTGCTGTCTTTTATCAATGTACAAGTATAAAATTAAGTTAATGTCAACATTTATTTTGGTTTTCATACATATCTATCATCTCTTTCATTTTTTTCATTTTAAGATGCCCTCGCTACGCTCAGCTGCCCAGCAATTGCTACTTGGCACAGGATCCGAGCGATCCATGCTGTCAGAAACCTGTCTGTACAAATCCAAATCCAGCCACTCAAAAGCCTAATCCGAACCCACAGACCCCCAAACCAGGCCAGACACCTTACCCAGGTGTTGTGACTCAGAAGCCAGGTGTGGTGACATTTAGACCAGGTGGTAATGTCACCCCAAGACCAAATCCAGGAACTGTTACCACTAACCCAGTCAACAGAAGTAGGTCAATCTTCAACTACTTGAAGACAGGAGCAAATATTATGATTTGATTAAAAACATTCAATTTGTAAGTCAGAGACTGCACATTGTGGTTTTCACACCCTCTTTTTTTAACCAACAATATCACTATATACATTATGGCAAAAAATAGGTTCCATAAGGTGTTAACATTGTAATTTGATCCATCAGTGTAAGAATAATATAAATAATTATTTTTTGATATATTGAATATTCTATGTTGTAGATTACTGTGTGTACAATGGAGTGACATATAGACAGGGTGCCACTTGGCAAGATGGCTGCACATACAACTGTGTGTGTGTGGATGAGGTAACAGGACAGTACAGATGCACAGAAAGGTACTTGTTTTACAAGAGCTTCCAGGTTAATTTGAAAGAAATATTTAGAATTGTGGAATCAGTGTATGTGTAAGTCAGATTGACTTTATGTATACCAGTAGACTAGCATAAAATTAAGTAAGCATCAACATTCATTTTGCTTTTTGTACATATTTATCATCTCTTTCATTTTTTTTTTTCATTTTAAGATGCCCTCGCTACGCTCAACTGCCAAACAATTGCTACTTGGCACAGGATCCAAGTGATCCATGTTGTCAGAAACCTGTCTGTACAAATCCAAATCCAGCCACTCAAAACCCAAATCCAGTCACTCAAAACCCAAATCCAGTCACTCAAAAGCCTAATCCGAACCCACAGACCCCCAAACCAGGCCAGACACCTTACCCAGGTGTTGTAACTCAGAGGCCCGGTGTGGTGACATTTAGACCAGGTGGTAACGTCACCCCAAGACCAGATCCAGGAACTGTTACCACTAACCCAGTCAACAGAAGTAGGTCAATCTTCAACTATTTTAAACTAGAATATATGATTTGAAAAAAGAAAATTCATTTTGTAAGCCAGAGACTGCATTTTGTGGGTTTTACACCCTCAGTTTTAACCAACAAGGTCAATCCATACATTTGAGCAAAAAATTCCATTTCACAAAATGTATTTATTGCAACAGGCTCCATCAGTGTAAGAATAAAATAAAAAATCATCTTCTGATATATTGAATATTCTATGTTGTAGATTACTGTGTGTACAATGGAGTGACATATAGACAGGGTGCCACTTGGCAAGATGGCTGCACATACAACTGTGTGTGTGTGGATGAGGTAACAGGACAGTACAGATGCACAGAGAGGTACTATTTTTGCACGAGATCACCGATGTTTGCTCTTTGAATTTTCTCGCTTAAAAATTTTGGGCTAGAAAAATAGGTTTTATTATTAAATTTTCTGTAAAGTATATTCTATATACCATTTAACTGTTGCTGTCGTTTATCAGTATACAAGTAAAAATTAAGTGAAATTCAACATTTGTTTGGTTTTCATACATATTTATCATCTCTTTCATTTTTTTCATTTTAAGATGCCCTCGCTATGCTCAACTGCCAAGCAATTGCTACTTGGCACAGGATCCAAATGATCCATGCTGTCAGAAACCTGTCTGTACAAATCCAAATCCAGCCACTCAAAACCCAAATCCAGTCACTCAAAAGCCTAATCCAAACCCACAGACCCCCAAACCAGGCCAGACACCTTACCCAGGTGTTGTGACTCAGAAGCCAGGTGTGGTGACATTTAGACCAGGTGGTAACGTCACCCCAAGACCAAATCCAGGAACTGTTACCACTAACCCAGTCAACAGAAGTAGGTCATTCTTCAGCTATTTGAAAATACTAGTAAATATTTTGATTTGATTTTAAAAAATTCAATTTGTAAGACGGAGACTGCACATTATGGCTTTCACACCATTAAATTTGACCAAAAACATTACTCCATACATTACAGCAAAAAAAAAAAATAAAAGATTTCAGAAAATGTATTTATTGTGATAGTATCCAACAGTGTAAGAACAATTAACAATCATTATCTGATATATTAAATATTCTATGTTGTAGATTACTGTGTGTACAATGGTGTGACATATAGACAGGGTGCCACTTGGCAAGATGGCTGCACATACAACTGTGTGTGTGTGGATGAGGTAACAGGACAGTACAGATGCACAGAGAGGTACTTTTTTTGCACAACATCACCAATGTTTGCTTTTTAAATTTTCTCTCTTTAAAATTTTAGGTTAAAAAAAGGTTTTATTATTAAATTTTCTGTAAAGTATATTCAATGTAAAATTTGACTGTTGCTGTCTTTTATCAGTATACAAGTATAAAATGAATTGTAATTCAACATTTATTTGGTTTTCATACATATTTATCATGAACTCTTTCATTTTTTTTTTTCATTTTAAGATGCCCTCGCTACGCTCAACTGCCGAGCAATTGCTACTTCGCACAAGATCCAAACGATCCATGTTGTCAGAAACCTGTCTGTACAAATCCAAATCCTGCCACTCAAAAGCCTAATCCTAACCCACAGACCCCCAAACCAGGCCAGACACCTTACCCAGGTGTTGTGACTCAGAAGCCAGGTGTGGTGACATTTAGACCAGGTGGTAACGTCACCCCAAAACCAAATCCAGGAACTGTTACCACTAACCCAGTCAACAGAAGTAGGTCAATCTTCAGCTATTTGAAAATAGTGGAAATTTGATAAGATTTTTAAAAAAATCAACATTTTAATCAGAGACCGCACTTATTTGCTTTTACACCCTCAAATTAAGCTAACAACACGTACCACTCCATACATTATAGCAAAAAGTAGATTTCTGAAAATGTATTTGTTTTTATAGGATCCATCAGTGTAAAAAAAAAAAAAATATATATATATATATATATATATATAAATAATCAACTTTTAATATATTAAATATTCTATCTTGTAGATTACTGTGTGTACAATGGAGTGACATATAGACAGGGTGCCACTTGGCAAGATGGCTGCACATACAACTGTGTGTGTGTGGATGAGGTAACAGGACAGTACAGATGTACAGAGAGGTACTTTTTACGACGTTGTAATAATTATTTCTTATTGACATTTTGAATTCCAGTTCAAAGTGCAACCTCAAAATTGATTTGTTATCTCATGTTGCAGCAAGCTGAATGAGTTTTAAATCAAACATACGAGAGAGAGAGAGAGAGAGAGAGAGAGAGAGAGAGAGAGAGAGAGAAATTAAAAACTTTTGATAAATGATCGACATATACATAGCTCTGTTTTAATGTTCTGCTGAAAGTTTTTTTCTACAAACAGGTGTCCCAAATACACCAATATCCCATCTTACTGCCGTATGGTACAAGATCCCGCAGATGCCTGCTGTACCAAGCCTGAGTGCACCCAAATTTCCACCCCAGGACCTGGCGTTGTAGCATCTACAGCTCCACCTGTTGTCGGCAACAGAAGTGAGTTTGTAGCTGCACTATTTCATCAAATCTGGATATTTTTGTTGGTATACCTTATGCCATATTGTTATATTTTAGATATATGGTCATAAGGATTTTTAGTTAGTAAATGTTTGAGTAGCAACAAGCTACAGTGTTTGTTTCTGAGAGAAAAAAGCATTACCAACAGTCTGGTTCAGGAATTGTCACAGCTGCAAACCTATGACAGTACTCCTCTGTATTGGTATTAAATCTAAGATAATTTTCCTCATCTTCTAGATTACTGTGTGTATAATGGCAGACAGTATGCGCAGGGAGCCACATGGCAAGATGGCTGCCAGTACAACTGTGTGTGCGAAGATGCTGTCAGAGGGCTCCACAAGTGTACGGAAAGGTAAGTTGTGTGATCCTCACCACTTTTTTATTATCTCTTTTTAATGAGATTTATAAACATTGGAAATGTTTGACATAGGGAAAATTGTTATGGAGGTAAAAATACTGCTATATTGCTGCATTAAGTCATGGAATTTTTGTCTGGCATCCTTTTATTTGATTATTTTTATTGAATTTTAATAGAAATGAATTCTCTTGTGATTATGCACCCTGTTACTAATTTGCAGGGTAATATTCCATGGACAAAAACATTTTAAAATATTAAATGCCTTATGTGCTTTATAGGCCTGGTCTTAGCTCACTTCAATGATATTGGCTGCAAAATATGGCAGTTATATATAAATTAAGAATATAACCTCAAACTGTTGTATACTAACAAAAATTCTATAATATTTTTAGGTGCCCTAAATACGACCTGTCATCATTGCCCAGCACCATGCAGTGTGTGATGGTCCAAGACACTGCAGACCCCTGTTGTCAGAAGCCTTCATGTACTCTGAGACCACAGCCAGGAACCCTTGGTCCTGTCCAACCCACACAGCCTGTGGGCATTACTCCAACCAGTGGTGTTATCACAGGAACCACAAGTGAGTATCACATGGTGGGTGCTGGGTGGGTGCATCTGTAATAAGGAAACCACAAGTGAGTATCACATGGTGGGTGCTGGGTGGGTGCATTTGTAATATAGAAACCATAAGTGAGTATCAGATGGTGGGTGCTGGGTGGGTGCATTTGTAGTATGGAAATCACAAGTGAGTATCACATGGCGGGTGCTGGGTGGGTGCATTTGTAGTATGGAAACCATAAGTGAGTATCAGATGGTGGGTGCTGGGTGGGTGCATTTGTAATATAGAAACAAGTGAACATTACATGATGGGTGCTGGGTGGGTGCATCTATAACAAAGTAGCCTTAAGGATGAGTGTAAAAAAGTTCAAAAGTTGAAGGTTTTACCCCTAGATCCTAGATATTTGCACAAAACTGGCCAATTTAAAGTACAAGATTCAAAAAGTTGGAAATATTCTAAAATGTTTGGTTTTTTTGTGTGTGTAGATTACTGTGTGTACAAAGGAGGCCAGTACAGACAAGGACAGAAATGGGAGGATGGCTGTGACTACGTCTGTGAATGTTTGGATGAACAGACTGGCAGATACAAGTGCACTGAGAGGTGAAATGCAGAACTTTATTGATTGTTATTTATTCAAAAAAAAAAAGAATAACATTTCACTTAGTTTTTCTAAACAGTTAATTGCATGTTAGGAGATAGTGATACATTTAGATGAAAATTCCAGAGGTTCATATAAATTTAATGTTTTTAAATGGGTGTGCACGCTGTTATAAAGTGGAAAAGGAGAAACTGAACCATAGGTGCCACTGCCTTTTGTATTCTATAAAAATATGCTATAACAGAGTAAACATCTTACATTTTTTCTTTCATTTGAAGATGCCTGAAATATACGGGTCTGACCAGTAACTGTCGTCTGGCAGTGGACCCCAAGGACTCCTGCTGCCAGAAGCCATATTGTGACTTCACATCGCAGACCAATGTCATCACAGGCACAGGACCTACCACTGTCAATCCCTATGAAAGCAGTGAGCTTATAGATTCATTCATTCTGTTTTCAAGGCTATCACAGTTTGATTTTTGTCTATATTGAAATTGTCTGTGCATCAAGATTTATCTAAATCTGGCCAGTTAGGCAGTGTGAAGGTTCAACCTGGACATAGCATATTGATTCTGAAAGTTTGGAAAACACTTAAACAATATGATTTAATGGAAATGACAAATAATTGTGTTAATTCTCTTCTACAGGATTTCCACTAGGCATTGAAATTTCAGAAACATTTTACATAATCAAATACAATTATATACATACATCATGTCACCCTCATGGGTGAAAGTTTTCAGGATTATACCTGATTTCAGGGTTTTTCAGTCTTCATTTTGATCGTTTTCGACATAGAGTCTAAATGCGAAGATAAATTGTTAACTATGTTATCAGGATATTTCCTTAAATTTCACCCATGATGAAAACTTCTTTTAATGGTCCAGAATCATTTCAGTGGTGCCTGTCTCTGTTCTCTTGCAGGGGTTTGTGTGTACAACGGAGTGGCTTATCTTGGAGGTCAAAGGTGGACGGTGCCAGGGTGCCAGTACCAATACTGTGAATGCACAGATGCCAACCAGGGACTGTACACATGTTATGACAGGTAAATAGAGGTTTGGACAGGGATGAGGTCATTCCGGCTGTCTGCTGATTTCCGCCTTTACTGTCTTTACTGTACTTTGGGCCCCATGCTAGATTCTCCTGCTTAGACAGGTAATAGAGGGTTGGATGGGGATGATATCATTCGGGCTGTCTGCTGATTTCCGCCTTTACTGTCTTTACTGTACCTTGGGCCCCGTGCTATATATTCCAACTTGTGACAGGCAAATAGAGGCTTGGACAGGGATGAGATCATTCCGGCTATGGGAGGATTTCTAACTTTTTGGAAGCAACAGATATCATTGGCCTACCCGCCTTTCCTGGACCCCATGCCATATTCTCCAACCCATTCACTCAAAGGCATTCTCATCCTTGCTTGGAAGATAATCTGATGTCAATTTGATATTGTCTGTAATTACATGAAAAGATAAATGCTGAGTATGTATACTTGAAAAATTGGATGGGATCCTGTCTTGTGAAGATTTTCCATCTGTCTGACTGTTGCTTTAACAAATCTGCATGTTATTCTTTATAAATATTTTAAAGAGCTACGAATAATTTCCATGAAAATAAGTGATTGGAAAAACAGTATTTGAAAATAAGGTGATATACCTTAATTTCAAAACTAAACGCACACACACAAACCCAGTCTATTAATGACACATGTTCAATTTTATTTCAATTTCTATTATCTATTCTGATTGTTATATTTCAGATGCCTGAAATACCAGTCACTGCCAGCAGGCTGTGTGATGAGAACGGACCCAGCAGACTCCTGTTGTCAGAAACCAGACTGCACCTTTACTGGGGTAACAAACCAGATCATTGGGGCGGGGACCACACCCAACCCTGTGGTCATCCCGGGCACCAACCCAGGGGGGATCAGTGGAACTGGAGGTGGGGGACTTTGTTGGTTTGTTAATGCATGATTGAATCTCATCTGATTGTTAAACTCACAGCACATTATATGTCTTTTGTCTTTTTTAAAATCATTTTTGGCCATTCATTAAAATATCTTAAAATATCCCCCGTCAATAAAAGATAAAATTAATAAATAAATGAAAACTGCTGATTTGGGTAAAGCAATTGAAGACATCTTATGAATGTAATGCAAGGTTTGACATTAACCATTTATGATTACGCCATGGTTAAAATATTTAGTATATATACATGAATTTTTGCACAATGTGATCTGACATTAATAACTTCAAAAATATGATATGATATGGGATGTAATATCATATGATATGATATGATGGCATATGATAAAAGTTCTATTTTTTTTTTTTTTTTTTTTTTTTTGCAGAATTCTGCGTCTACAAGAACAATCAGTATGCCAAAGGTGCCAGATGGAGTGATGGATGTGACTACAACTGTGAATGTCTGCCAGGCAGGACATACAGATGCACCGAGAGGTGGGTCATGTCTTAAAAAAAAATGAAGGGTTTCGATGATGTTTTAAAGAAAAAATTCTTCTTCATATAGAAGTCGGTCATATTTTGGGGGAAAAATTAAGGGTTCTGATGAACTTTTGAAGAAAAAAATTCTGCCGCATGCAAAATGGGCTTCAGTTAATATACAAGAAAATATTACCTGTAAATGTGAAGATTTTGACATGAAAAGATTGCTGAGATAATTATGTGAAATATTATTTTCCCCTGTGATTGGTGATTTTGTTTCCCCGAATATTAAAACCTTTTAGACACTGAACACTGACTCACATTAGACTTTCTAACCCATAAACTGTCATTGTATAGACATTACTAGCTTAAAGTTTGAAAAATAGATAACAAGTTTAAAAAATGGATAACAAGAGAGCTCATAAATTGAGTGCATAATTATATGGAATTGGGTCTTCCGTGTAAACTACGTAAATGTAAAATGTGTAAATAACCATTTTTTTCTTGTAGAAGAAATTCCCATGGCAATACCTTTATTGAGTTACTTTTAGAAAATCACTCACCTAAACATTTTGATTGGCAATATTCTGTATGTTCATTCTCAGATGTCCCAAATACCAGAACCTCCCTAGTTACTGCCAATTGGTTCAGAACACAGAGGGTGACACCTGCTGCAAGAAGCCCCAGTGCACCATCCCCAGCACCAACAATGTCATCACTGGCACTGGAGTGATTCCAGGAGGAGTGACTGGAACCAGACGTATGTTATTTGTCATTGTATTAGTCTGTCAGTCAGAGTGTTTTGCGGGACAGTTAGTTTGTCAGTCAGTTAGCTTGTAAGTCAGCTTGTCAGTCAGTTAGCTTATAGGTCAGTTACATGTAGTTTGTCAGTCGGACAATTAGCAAAACTACTATATATCAATAAGCTTATTTATAAATTTTTGGTTTCAAAAAGCTTCTTTTAAAAGAAAACCATATTTGTTATGAGGGATCTGATTTCTCTGCAAAGGGGTTTATTCACAACAGATGCTCTTTCGTTTACGTATAATTCATCCTCCTTCCCACTTCAGAGGGATGCATGTGGAACAACCAGATCTACGTGCAAGGCCAGAGGTGGCAAGATGGCTGCCAGTACAACTGCGTCTGCGAGGATGGAAGAACAGGGTTTTACAGATGCACAGAAAGGTAATATCATTGGGTTGGCTCTGTTTATAATGAGACACCAGTCGCATTTACATAGCATCTAGGTCGATCCTTCTTAGTATGACCCTTGTCTGTGGATCATCCTTTTAAGATGAGCAAACCCAAAGAAACAGGCATGCATGTCTGCCATTTACTTCTTTTATATTCTGAGGTAAGCAGCATATTGTGCAGGGCAGTGGGTTTGCTAACATTATGAGAAATGGAACAAACATTTAATAAACTTTTATCAGACAATTTGCTGAGAAAGATATATAAGATCAAGAAGGGGCAAACTTACTGTAATGTAAATGCTCACTTGAACCTTTTGGTAATATTAGAGGATTTTTGTGAGTTGTATCCAATTAAAACAAACAAGCGAATGACCAACCAAACAACAAATTAGAGTGTCTTTTAGTAATTACATTTTCAAATTAGATGTCCAACCTCCCAGCGACCTGCCAACTTGTGCGAGACAAACGGATTACGCATTAAAATAATCAGAGGTATTGTGATACCAATAATTAGACGTACTTCTGATCATTTTTTAATTAGATGCCCAACCTACCGAAATCTCCCAGCAAGCTGCCAACTTGTGCAAAGTCAGACGGATTACTGCTGTCAAGAACCAAGGTGCACCTTCACACCTGTCACTGGAGGTGGGTTCACTGGCTCTGGCACCCCACCACCTGTTGTGAATCCTGGCACTGTTTCACCAGTCACTAACAAACCAGTCATTGGACAACCCAGTAAGTTCCAAGTGTTTCCAAACTGATTCTAAACATGGTTCTTAAGCTCTGAATTTGTTATTAGTTCTTTTATGAATTAAAATTTCTATTGGCTTTTATTACTACGTTCTTACCACAAAGTTGATTCATTTTCATGCCATAAGGCTGAAAGGGTGGGTTGATTGCATTACATCTTACCTTTGTTTTATAAATATAGACATTTCTTTTAGAAGTAGGTATGTGTACATACCACTAATATAACTGTATTACTAACCTCAGCACAAACAGTTAATTTCGAGTGCGTTTCACAAGTAAAAAGTAGTTTCTGGTTTTTTGCTGGTATTAAGCATTGTATTTTTTGCATACTACAGACATATTTTCATTTTATTGTAGGAGTATGTGTATACAATGGAGTTCAGTACACTGAAGGTCAGAGATGGCAAGATGGCTGCAAGTACAACTGCATATGTGTAGATGGCGTTACTGGGCAATACAGATGTGATCAGAGGTATGCATGTATATTGAATAAGTAACACTTTGAGATTTGTGTGTGTGTGTGTGTTTTCTTTTTTAATTTTTTTTCTTTGTCAAGACTTTAAAATTTGTGATGGATTGCTTCACTTACTAGATTATGTGAGCATTGATATAACCAACAAGATGTGACATACACTTCAGAACGCTTAAGATATGTTTTATCTTTAGATTTTTGTTCAGTGACAACAATTAAATGAATTAATTAAATATGCCATGCAATGAATGAACCTACCTTTATTTAGGATTTAAATCTGATTAGAGAAATTTTTAAAAAGCAAGTACTGTAACAGATATATCATAATGAAATAAAGGAAAATTTTGTTAACACGAATGTTTTCCCCCGTTTCATTCTAGGTGTCCAACCTACCAATATGACACCAAGAATTGCGTCATGCAACAGGATCCTGTTGATAGCTGCTGCCAGAAACCAGTCTGTAACTTCCCCAGTGTAACTGGGAATGTGATAAATGGTGGTCGCACCACACCGTCTTCTGGCGGTAACATCACTCCCAAACCTGGCCCTGGAGGTATCTCTGGCTCTACGGGTTAGTACAGCGACTTATGTTTAATTATCGTGTTTATGTAGCCAAATGTTCACAAGCACAACGAAGCTCGGTTTTTGCTCAAAATTAAATAAGAAATAAGAGATTATTACAGAGTATAGCCATCTATGGAGGTCACGTGGTCCGATGATAAGGACAGATTTCAAAATATTGCTATAACTGCTGTTTTTGTGGAGATTTAGAATATTTTAAATATGAGTTGCATACAATGTATTTATTGTGAAATATAGATCTCATACGAAGAATTGTTATCCCCTTAATGAATCCTTTGTTTTCAGATGTGTGCGTGTACACGGATGGTAAGACCTACAGGCAGGGACAGAGATGGGAAGATGGCTGCAAGTATTTGTGCCAGTGTGTTGATGCAGTGACTGGAAGATACCAATGTAATGAAAGGTATAGCTTACTTTTAAAATTTATGGTTTGAAAATGTGCATGGATTAGTTGCAAGTAGGAGACTAAGATGTGGCTAGTGATAGTGTAAATTATTTTTAATTTTTGAAGAGGCTGCTATGAAAGTTTTACTTATTTTCACAAGCAATTAACATTTGGTGGAACTCTTTGTTGCTGTCTAACATAATCATGTATTTCAGATATCTTTTAGATTGTTCATAAATGAGATTTACATGGATGAGATTTTCAAACTACCCACAGTTTTCTGTCTTTTTGGGAGCCCAAAAAATTTACTGGCCTAGGCAACCCCCTGAACCACACGTGATATTTTCCGCCATTTTTCACTAAATGGCCGTCTCATCCCTGAATTAAGTAAAACTTCCTGATAAACTTCTTCATTACTTTATTGTTTTAATGTAGATGTGCCAAGTATACCAACCTCCCGAGCTACTGCACAATGATACCAGACCCAAGAGATGCTTGCTGTCAGACTCCGTCCTGCAATTTCCCAACCGTCACAGAGGCACCAAATCCTGGAAACACGGTAGCACCTAATCCTGGTAACACAGTAGCACCTAATCCTGGCAACACGGTAGCACCAAATCCTGGCAACACGGTAGCACCAAATCCTGGTAACACGGTAGCACCTAATCCTGGTAACACAGTAGCACCAAATCCTGGTAACACTGTTGCTCCAAATCCTGGACAGAATAGTAAGTGGATATCATCTGCAGAACTCACCATTGTAGATCGTACACACTGTAAATATTCACAGAGGAATTTCATCGGCTCTTTAATATTATAAGAATAAAGTAATATTTTTCTAAACAACTTGTTTACTTTCAATATTTTGATGTCTGTCTAGAGCATCTTCATCAGTGAGTGAATTTCTTCTGTACTTTCAGGGAAGTACTGTGTATATAACAACCGCCAGTATGCGAAAGGACAGACTTGGCAAGTTGGATGCCAGTATGAGTGTGTGTGCGAGGATGATACAACTGGTTTCTACAACTGCAATGATTTGTAAGTGACTTCTATGCCTTCTGTTGTAATTGCCCATCTATTCAAATATCAGTTATGTCAATAAGTATGAGCAGTGTTTTAATTTTGTTGAAAAAAACTGAAATTACTTAATATCAATAACTATTCTGTATGGCAATGAAATTGTTTAGTTGAAGCATTTTTAAACTTTTGTTTAAAAAAACAGCAAGTCGGGAAGAGTGAAATTATGTTTTATTGTTATAATTTATTTTAGATGCCCAACATATACCAACCTTCCAAAGGAGTGCACGCTGGTCCAGGACCCCGTGAAGTACTGTTGTAAGACCCCACGCTGTGATTACTCTGGTGTCACTTCAGGGACAACAGGTGGCGGCGCTGTGCCAATCGTTCCAACGGGTATCCCAGGAGTCATCACAGGAACCGGAAATACTGCCACGGGAACTTCTCCAAACCAGCCAAGTATGTATATACTGATGTAGTGGTTATAATATTTATTTGTAATCAATTTGTATTAATTTTTATAGGAATGTTTTTTTTTTTTGTATTATTTTGATTAAGATTTCCTACTATACAAGAGAGAAAGGAAAGAGGAGAGGGTGAAAGAGAAACAAGTAAGTTTCACTCAGCATTATAACTTCCATTTATATTTGAAATGTAAATCATGCATATCCTAAAAATAAAAAAAGGACTTTTTTTTTACCTGTAGGATATTGTGTGTACAAGGGCCGATATTACACCCAGGGTGCCAGGTTCGCTGATGGCTGTGACTACAACTGTGTTTGCGATGATGTAAACACTGGGCACTATACCTGTACTGATAGGTAAAACTTCAGTAGTAATAGTCAAGAAAAATAAATGGAACAAACTATTAAAAATATCATTTTAAAAAATGATTTGTAGTCAAAATTTGTAAAAGCTGTATTGAAAAAGATAACTTCCTTATGTTTGAAAAGTAAAATTGAGGAAAAAATTAGTACTACTACGTATAGGGCAACCATTTGATTCTTTGAAATTGAACCAAAATAAGTGGGCATAATTTGGATGACAAAATTGTAATATTGATTAGATGTCAGCTGAAGCTAAAAAGCTTTTAATTTTTTTCTTTTTTACATCTTTGTTAGCGAGTTGTTTATTTTGCTAAAATATATTTTGAATGTTTAATACCTTTATTTGCAGATGTCCCAAGTATCCAAACCTACCAAGCTACTGTAGAATGCAGCAAGATCCAAATGACTACTGCTGCCAGAAACCGGTTTGCACTCCCAACCCCAATCCAAACCCCAACCCCAACCCCAATGTTACACCACATCCTGACCCTAACCCTGTGGTACCAGGATTCTCAACAGTGCAGCCCAATCCTGTCTTCACATTCAGACCACAGCCAACTCTGCCACCAACCCAGCAAAGTATGTATTCATTTAGATTTATTTGTTTATTTCATATAATACGGCCTTTATGGTGTGACTTCTTCAAAAAGCCTAGTAACTACAATCTCTTTTAGCTGTGAAACCAATTTTTCTCTTATAAATCATAGTTTTTAAGCTGAAAAAGTTTAATTCAAAATATATTCATTTTCCAAAGTAACACAGTATTTGAAAGGATTTCATTTAAAAGATATTCAATTTCCTAAGTAACACAGCATTTGATATTATATTCACTTGCTAGTTATATGCATTGAACCTAGCATTAGACATTAAGTTAACATTGGCATTCCCATGGAATCGTTACAGATGTCTGCACATACAAAAACATCAGATACGTCCAGGGACAGACCTGGACAGACGGATGTGACAGGACTTGTGTCTGTGAAGACGGAAAAACTGGATTCTACCGCTGTACTGATAGGTGAGTAAAACAGACATTATTTTCTTCCCTGTAATTAAATTACAAATATGATTTTTGATCTTGGTTTTCCACGTTAAGAGACCCCTGGGCCGATCTTTGGTTGCAGGGCCACTGCATCATTTCTCAATTTATTTTTCTTGCAACCCAGTCAAAAATTTAACTCTTTTCTTAAGCATTGGTTCTGAGGTATCAGATGATATATTTACATCTTTCTTTTTGTGTGTGTCTATCTATCTATTGATCCATCTTTAGGTGTCGCACCTACCAGAACGTTCCAGCAAACTGCCAGATGGTGGCTGATCCACAGGACCCACAGTGCTGCAAGATTCCACAGTGTCCAAACACAAACCCCAACACTGGGAACCCAGATCCAGCTGGTGGCAGTTCTGTGATCAACCCCTTGCAACCAGGCGTGATTACTGGCAGCGGCACTCCGCCTCCACAGATTGCACCAACTCCAGCACCAGGAGTCACTGGAAGACCCAGAAGTAAGCCTCTTTTGATGCAAAAAAATTAAAATCTTTCTTTGGCAATACTTTTAAGTCCACTGGCAAGCAGCAATGTTCAGTTGTAAAGTTTCTTGACTGTTTATAATTTTTTTTTCTTTGTTTTTCTACTCTCTGACTGACTGATGACTGACTATCCTCTTCATACTGCTGTGGCACATAAGGCATTCACCAGAGCTCACCAGTGTTGTCTGTCTGATGTATAACCCTTAAGCTGCCCCCACGTCCATCCTTGTTTTTCTGTCATCTCTCCTTCTCAGCAGATTGTCTCGATGTTTCGTTCTGTCTTCCTTTATGTCTTTTCCTTTCTGGTGCCCACTACTCTCTCTAGCAGTTGTTTAATTAATGATGATGGTACATATATGGAAGCCTATTTGGTATGTGACTCCTGTTCTTATTTTTTATCCAGCTTACTGCTTCTACAAGGGACAGACGTACAGCACTGGAGACAAGTGGCAAGATGGCTGCACGTACAACTGTGAATGCATCAATGACCAGACCGGATTGTACAGATGCAAGGACAGGTTCGATGCATTTATCAGATAAAATTTTAATATTTCTTCTAGAAATAATTAATCTTTTTAGTGATGAGAAATTTCACCTGTTTACATAATTTCTTCCTTTTTTGTAGACTAGAAGTTTAAGATCAAGGGTAATCATTATGTTGCTTTTTATCCTGCTCAAGTTACCAGAGACATACTAAATGAATAATTTCATATAGTAGCAGCTAATTATCTTTTCTTATGTTGTCCAGTAAAGACACAAAAAGATCATATTGACAAAATTTTCAAGATGGTTTCCCACATATGTTTGAATCAGATGCACAACAACATGTACCTTAACAGCTGCACAAAGATATTTTGTTGGACAGTTTCTGGTTTTTCAAGCCAGGACTCTTGATATCCTGCTAGATTACATATGGATTTTATTACTGTGTTGCTTTTATCTCTCTTTAGAGAAAGGGAGGGGGGATATAAGAAACCTGAAAGATGATTTGATTTTTTTTTTGTTAACTGCATTCTGGGACAAAAGAAAAAAAGAATATGCCTTAAATAAATTATGTTTTACTGACAGGTGCAACTCTTATCCCAATCTACCATCAGCATGCAGGATGGTCATCGATCCCAAGGATCCTTGCTGCAAGGTTCCAAAATGTGATGGAACCACTGGCTCCATCAGTGGAACCAGACCACCAGTGACACAGGCACCAAACCCCAGCCCTGGTCCAAATCCTAACCCCAACCCAACTCTGAGCCCCAACCCTAATCCAAATCCAAACCCAACTCAGAGCCCCAACCCTAATCCAAACCCAAATCCAAATCCAACACAGAGCCCCAACCCTAATCCAACGCAAAGCCCACAGCCACGTAAGTTCAATTATTGGTTTACAAGATAATCAATCAAAAGTCAGATTTAAATACAAAGTTTAGTAAATGGCTGCATGACTTATCAAATGAGGTTGAAACAAGAATTCCTGCCACAGCAAATTACACAGTGAACAGTTTTCAAAAATTTTTTCCGGATATAGATTCAATTCATTTCATCCTTTATGAAATGGAACACAAGTTCAGTCATTACCTCTTCCTTACACTTACTGTATCATTATGAAATAAAATGTTATAAAACTTTAGATTTTATAATGTGAGACAAAATCAACTTATCCTTTGTGTGCATTTTATATGTGCAGAAAAGTGCACTTGAGGCAGCATAAAACATATTAAAAATTATTATGAACCTTTTTCAAAGGGATAGCATAGTTTTGACACACTGTACCCAACCATTCTTGAATACTTGTTCAAAGGTATTTAAATGTTTTTCCAGGCTACTGCGTGTACAACAACTACCCATACCGCCAGGGTCAGGAGTGGTATGATGGGTGTGAGAAGAAGTGTCGATGTGACGATGAAATGACTGGCATTTACAACTGTGATGAGAGGTTGGTGGTTTTCTTATTTAAAATACCAGTTTACTCTACATCTACTGAGTTGCCAGGAGAGGCCTCAATTTACGGCGACCTGTGCCAGCTTGGTATTAAATATTGAAACTTGTTTTATGAAAGGACTTTTCATTGTGAAGATGTATTGGTATTTAGAGAGTTTATAAGCATATATAATTAGGTGTAATGCCAGTTGTTTATAAAAAACTTTGTTAAGATTTTGCCTTCGATCCTAGATGTGCCCGCTATACCAACATGCCATCCAACTGCATCATGGTGGTCGATCCGCGCGATTCCTGCTGCCGTATCCCACAATGCTACAACCCAACTGGCAACCCAGGAAGCTCCACAGGAACAGGCAATGGACCAGCCACCGTGAAACCCGGCACCATCACTGGTGGCGGCTCAGTGACCCCGCGCCCAGGCCAGCCAGGTGAGACCTGGGTTTTCATGGGAAGAACTGTGTGTCATTTTTGAAAATGGTTATCAAATTTATGAATTTTAGCCAAATTACTAAAAAAAAGAAAAAAAAAGCAATTTTTGAGTTATTGTATTCAAATGGCAAATTTACAGCAGCAGTGGTTAGTTTATATGGCCATTTCAAAATTGCAATTTTGCGAAACACCATGCTCTACAAACCTGAGTAGAGATATTTTTGGTGGCATATTAAGGAAGATTTTCCAGTTTTACTCTTTCATCACATTTAATAATTTATAATTCCAGGTAGTGTTGTCATCCCGACTGCACCACCAGGTGTCATCACTGGCACTGGAACCCTGCCCACTGGGACTAGCGTAGTTATCAACCCCTCTGGAACCGTCAATGTCATCCAAGGCACCAGCTCACCTATAGGTGGCTCCACAGGCTCCATCACAGGAACCAGAAGTAAGACCAAGAATTTGTTCTCATTTCTTTGGTTTTTTGATTTTATTTCACTTTTCAGAGCAAACCTTGATAGTCTGCTACTGTAGTGGTTATTAATGTTAGTACTCTGTGTAAAGTCAAGGTTTTTGAGATTCCGTCAGAAAATTTACTGTGCAGTTTATGTCATCATAATTAAGAATTGTTTTTTTTCTGATACTTGGTTTGTATTTTGCTAAAAAGATCTTCTTGAATTCAGTATAGTTCTTGACAACATTTAGCTTTTTGTATGTACTGTAAAAAAATTTAGTGATTCATAAATTCCTTTAATTCTGCAAAGATTTGTTCGCAGTGTACTTTTCATTGTAGCCCCCTAAACAAAAACCATTATCTGATTGTTGCAATATAAGTATAGAATCATGTCCAAACCTCAATTTTATCATATCTGCACAGGTGTGTGTGTCTACAAGGGAAGAGTTTTCACCCAGGGACAGACGTGGCAAGATGGCTGCCAGTACAACTGTGTCTGCGAGGATGGAACCACTGGTGTTTACAAATGCACAGAAAGGTGGGTACAAGTTACATAGGACAGCACTTGGAAGAACACTTGTTGTAATGAGTGAAATAAAATATCTTAAAGTAACAATAACATGTATGTTCAGTCAAGAAGTGAACAACATATGCTACTCCAAAATGATGCAAAAGTAATGCAATTCCACAATCCATCACATAATAATATCTGTTTTGTTTTTTTATCTGATGTACAAGTTTTATACTTGCTTTTCACCACTGAAGAAACATTCTTTGAATTATGTCCCAGTCTACCATTTTTTATCAATTAAAAGCCAAATAAACGATTTTTTAATAACAAAGAAATTTCTCTCCAGATGTACCCGTTTTACTAACCTCCCATCAAATTGCCGCCTCGTAACAAACCCATTGGACACTTGTTGCCAGACTCCACAGTGTGACCCAGAGACGACCACCACTCCACCACCATTCCCCATCCCAACCAGGAAACCATCCGCTGTCACTGGACAGAGAGGTAGGTAGAAAACAAGTGGAATTTAAGACAGACTTTTAATTGCCATGGTAACCATTACCATTACCATTACCATGGTTACCATTACCATACCAACCAGGAAACCATCTGCTGTCACTGGACAGAGAGGTAGGTAGAAAACAAGTGGAATTTAAGACAGACCTTTAATTGCCATGGTTACCATTACCATTACCATTACCATGGTTACCATTACCATACCAACCAGGAAACCATCTGCTGACTGGACAGAGGTGTGGGTAGAAAACATGGAAAGAAGTGGAATTTAAACCGACTTATAGCTTTTGCCAAGGATTGTTGATTTCTTTTTGTTTATACATGAACGATGTATATCTCTAACAAAAATTAAAAAATCATGTGATAATTGTTTACTGATAAATACATTTAAGACTGCATAGACAGAAAGCTGGTTGTTTGAGTGCTGTATTCATTCCCTCAAGACCCCTCCCCTATGTAAAACTGCACACCATTTTTTTCCTTTTCATCTCTATATATTGATTGTCCTTGAACATTCTTAGAGAACTACTGTGTGTACAGTGATGGCCGCCGATTTAAGACTGGTCAACAATGGAAGGATAACTGCCAGAGCTGCACATGTCTGGACGACACCACAGGAAGCCTCAGATGTGTGGATGAGTAAGTTATTTTGATATTTCTAGTAAACTGATAATGTGATAACACCGACAACGTTACAAATAGATACTTCTGCATTTATTCGTTTGTTTAGACTTTGTATTGATGTCCTCCACAGGGGCTCCTGAAATGAAACTGAGGGTCTGTGTAACAGTAAGTCTGCCCTCCATTTAATTATAAGGGTTAGCCTGACCTAAGTGGGTCAAAATCTAGAGCGAGGCTTACCTGTATAAATGAATGGGAAGTCGACTCTATCATAGGGGGGGGACTCTCTGTCACATTACACCCCCTATATAGATGTGATAATACCCTTGCCCTATTAATTATAAACACATATTGCCTAAGAAACGCTATATTATATAATAAATAATTTCAGATGCCCACAATACACCAACCTGCCCTCCAACTGTGTCCTGGAGACAGATCCCACCAACCCTTGCTGTAAGAGACCCAAGTGTTCAGGCACTACAGGGAGCATCACAGGCACCAGACCTCCCACAGGCGTGACCCCCAAACCAGGCATGACTCCCAAACCAGGCGTGACCCCCAAACCAGGCACCCCCACAGGCACCACTGGCTCCATCACAGGCACTGGCACTGTGCCAGTTCCTGGAACACAGGGTAGCTTCACTGGAGTCGGCGTGGTGCCATCCTCTGTTGGCTCCATAACTGGAACGAGAAGTAAGTTATTAGTATTATATTATAGTTAATCTGCAGTTGCATTTCATAATGTAAATATAGCTGCTTTGTTGTTTTGTTACTTGCTGCCAGTACTTTTCCTTTATTAGCCATGAGACCCGTCACTTTGTAAAATAATTTCCTCTGTCAATATTGATGAAAGAAATTAGATCATACCATAGTATGGAAAGCAGCACGTTTTGGTTACTGTTTGATATTGACAGAATGGTTTTTGGCACTTTGGTAAAATCTTTTGGGATAATAGCATAATGTATAATCAGTTTAAATACACTATTATAGTGTTAACTTCTTTCACCTTAATAGGGCCACGAGAAAGAAAAAATTTAGACTAATCATGCTTTTGCCCTTATAAATAAAGTTTAAATGAGAAATGCAATAGATAGAGAAATAAATGGTTTTGCTTTGTTCTGTTTCAGATGGCTGCTACTACAACGGTAGGATATACTCTCAGGGAGAGAACTGGAATGATGGATGTGATTACCAGTGTACTTGTGAAGACGCCATCAGAGGATTCTACAGATGTACAGAAATGTGAGTTGACGCAGAAATTTTAATATTCGGAACAGTCAATCATGCCAAAAAAATATTTACAAACTTTCCAGTCGTATGTGCCTGTGCAATGGCATCCCTCCATAAAAGTTACATACTTTACCGTGATTGATGATAAAGTAAGATGTTAGATCGGCAATACTTAACTCTCATATTCGTATGAAACTACTATTCTCACAGTAAGTGCTGGTTTGTAAATAAATCACTTTAATTTGTTTTGGTACAAAAGAAAAAAAAAGGTATATTTCTTACTGTCAGGTATTTGAAAAACTCATTTTTCTTATTTCTAGGTGTGTTACCTACCCCGACCTACCATCCACATGCAAGCTTGTCAATGTGATTGGACAATGTTGCCCAACTGTTAACTGCCAAGGCACCCTCCCTGGTGGCACCACAGGCACTAACCCAGGTGGTACTGGCACAGGCACCCTCCCTGGTGGCACCACAGGCACCAACCCAGGTGGTACTGGCACAGGCACCCTTCCTGGTGGCACCACAGGCACTAACCCAGGTGGTACTGGCACAGGCACCCTCCCTGGTGGTATCACAGGCGGTGGCATCATCCCAGGTGGTACTGGCACAGGCACCCTCCCTGGTGGTATCACAGGTGGTGGCATCATCCCAGGTGGCACTGGTACAGGCACCTTACCTGGTGGTATCACAGGTGGTGGCGTCATCCCAGGTGGATCCACTGGAAGCATTACTGGATATAACAGTAAGTGGATATTGTACTAAGTAGGATGAAGTTTACCTGTAAGGCTTATGGACAACATTAAAGATCCAACCCACATTTTTTTTGTTTCCACAAATGCTTTCTTGTGTTGGGATATAACTCTGCTAAACAGAAGGGAAGAGGTGTATGATTGATTAAGTACTGCTGAATGGCCTTTCTTGCATTTGTTATCAATAAACCCTATTTGATGTTTTAAATCGATGCCAGGTATGACTTTTAACACAAAATTAATGATACCCAAATCATTTCTATTTTATAAGAACAGGTGGAACCCTGAATTATTTTCTGTTCTGAAAATGTTAAAGACAGAGAAGTCTCTTTTTGGTTTTAAAATAAAGCAAACTTGATTTGTTCACATCATTTGACATACTGGCATTACTTTATATTGAATTTCGTGTTGAATTCAGGTACATTTTATTAGATATAATAATTAACCATTTCTAGGTATGTGTCTGTACAAGAACAGGCTGTATAATGAAGGAGCTAAGTGGAATGACGGATGCCAGTATGAATGTGAGTGTACTGATGGCAAGATGGGATTCTGGAAGTGCAGAGACCTGTAAGTACTATGATTAAGAGTTCTCTGTATGATCATGTAGGTCTTTAACATTGCATTTATGTCTTTAGTATGATTGAAATGGAACTCTGGAGTAGCGCTAGCAATTTTTTTCGCTTAGCCAAATCACTGTTTTTTGTCAATTTGTTATCCAAATGGTTTTAATTTGACTAAAATGAGTCAAATCAAGCCCTTTTTGTTTAGCCAAGTTAAGCCATTTTTAGCATTTGGCTAAATTGGCGAGTGTTAGCGCTACCCCAGAAACTTGTATATTGTTAGTTTTACTGTTTTTTTCTTTCTCTCTCTCTTTTATTTTTTTATTTATTTATTAATTTTTTAATTTGGAAAAATGATTCTTCCAATGATTTTTCACAACAATAAAATAATTTATCCCTGCCTAATTTGATCTTCAGTTTGTGTGACTGCCCTGGCATAATATGGCACAAATGATAACACAAACTGACGTGTCCATAATAATTACCATAGAAAATCATTCATGTGCCTTTCAGATCTTAAAACTTTTTTGATTTGTGACTTTTACAATATTAATTATCGTATAAATTACCCAAACTGTGTGTCTCTTTCCTCCAGCTGCCCTAAGTATGAAAACCTCCCCTCTGACTGCACCCTGCAAACCGTGGCTGGAGAGTGCTGCAGGAAACCAAGGTGCACCAACACTCCTGTCAATGAACTCATAGGCACATATCCACCAGCCCTCACAGGGTACCGCCCTGGCATCATCCCTGGTGGGAACCCTAGCAGTACTCTTGGCACCATCACTGGTACAGGAGGAAGCACCACTGGTACAGGAGGAAGCACCACTGGCACAGGAGGAAGCATCACCGGTACGGGAGGAAGCACCACTGGCACAGGAGGAAGCACCACTGGTGTTGTGCTTCCTGGAACCGTCGGAGGAATTACTGGAACGAGAAGTAAGTGTATTTTGTGGAAAATAGGCCTGGTTTGTCTGAGCAAGGCACTCAAAGTCTGTGGGTAGATAAAGATAAGGGAAATTTTTGTGAGAACATGATGTTAATGTATAATGTGATTAAACAGGTATGCATGTCAAGGGCATCTTATTAGGGCAGGGTCACTGATGTCAAGGTTAAAATATTGGAACATCAAGTATGATGGTCTTTTAAAATGTCTGTATAAGTCAAATTTTAGGATTTTTGTAAAATTGCTTGTATTGCTTTTATGGATGATTAATATATTTTGAAAAGAAATTTTTATCATATTCATGTTGGTCTATTTAGTTATATTGTGGAAAGTAATATGGGACTTAGCACTTTTGGATTTATCCTTCTTGAATACAGATATTTGTTTTTATTCTCTTTATGGAGTTCTTGGTTATATTTAAGGGTACAAATCAAAATGTAAGCAACATGTTTTTATTTATTGAATTGTTTTTTGTTTTGCAGATGGCTGTGTGTACAATGGCAAGACCTACAAACAGGATGAGAGTTGGTCTGATGGCTGCCAGTATGACTGCCAGTGTTTGGATGCCAAGACTGGACAGTACAGCTGTAGAGAAAAGTATGCACTTTAATGATTTATTTGAATAAATTGGTATATGAATTGTATTCACATTTTTGAAATAATGGCCCCAAGAGAATGTTGGCATCCAGCTAGTGTATTCTGATTAAATCAAGTGTAATTGTTGGAGAGTGGTTTTAAGAATATGGATTTATGAATTTATACTGTAAGTTCTCACTTTATTTATCTACATGTATATGACTGTTATTTCATTTGATTTTGGTATTAATATATCCAAAATTTGCCACTTTGTGGGGAAACACCCTGCCAAATTCTTTAATGTGTGAGATCCTACATCTGTGAGAATTAAGTCTTCTTAGTCTCCGATGATATTTAATTAGCATTGTACCATATTTTAACAGATTACCCACCTACATTGGCTTCCATCTTGTATGCTATAGACAAAGCTGAGCAAAATGCTGTAAATGTTTGGAATGGTATATTCGTTATATCCATGACATTGTAAAATCACATAATTATATATTAAATTATGAATTTCAAATTCAATTTTCCCTCAGATGTCCAAGCTACACCAACTATCCATCATATTGCTCTCTACAAACAGTACCAAACCAGTGCTGTAAGAAGCTTGTCTGCTCAGGTGAGGTCATACATATTTGCATATTCATTAGCATACTCATTAGCATATTCATCAATCCTCTCATTAGCATATCTATTTGCATACTAGTTAACATATTCATTAATATAATGGGTAAAAATCTCCTTAACATTCATTACTATAAAGATCCAGAGAGAGCATGCATATTTGGGTAGATTTAACCATTTCCATATATTGCTTTCATTGAAGACTTACAGAATTTTTAAGGGTCTTGTGAAAATAAATAATTGTGTTGACTGAGTTAACTTTGGAAAAGTGTAGGCTTGGTTCTATCTGAGCCAACATATGATACTGAATACTATTAGGCAGCACACTCTATGAATAGCCATATTACACCCCATGTTTGTTGATGTAGGACCAGCAAACATTGGAAGCACTACTGGTACAAGCACTGGAACAGGCACAGGCACCGGAGGTGTCAGGCCATGCGTGGACATTCTCCCCAACTGCAATGAATACAACTTTGCCGAGGCCTGCACAGGACAGTACTTGGGATGGGCCGTGAAGAACTGTGTCAAGACATGCGGACTGTGTGGTTAGTGTTTATATATGTCATATAATGGAGCCTTAACAGGCCAGTGTGACAGGAATGGTAGTGCTCTAGAAACCGTCGTCCATTTCCCAATACTTATATATACATCCATGTATATGTGACAGGTGACATTTGTCCAATCTACTAACCCCAACTTGTACCAATTTTATTGGACTCTGAACTTCCATTCCTAGGACAACCATTCCTGTCGAAATGGGAAATGTTGTGTGTGTCATTCAAGGTGCATGCTGTGAAACTATACTTTCTCGTAAAACTTATGTCACTTGGTATATTTGATTGATTTATCAAAACATTTGTCTTATAATTTGTGGGTAATATTTTTTTTTTCAAAGAAAAGATAAAATCCATATTGATAGATTTATATTTTTATTTTCTTCAATATTTCAGACTACCTCACAACCACTCCATTGCCAACAGATGGCTGTGTCAATAAGCTATCCAACTGTGATCAGTTTGAGGACTCTGCATGTACTGGACCATACAAGGCCTGGGCTAAAGCAAACTGCCCAAGAAGATGTGGTCTGTGTGGTAAGTGTGCAGCTTGACACATGGAATTAGTTGACAGTGATGAGTGAATAAATACATTATTTTCAATGTAGATTGGAAAGATACCAAATTATCAACAGTGCTTTGAATCAGAGGGATTCTTCTGTGGGTGTAGATACAGTAAGAGTGGAAGTTCTTTGCTTCCCTCTCAAAGTGATCGTGCAAACATGGTATTTTTATTATCAGTCCAAACTATTCAAAAATTTTTACCAGATGAGCTCATCAAGATGATTTCACCTTTAGGTTCTACAATCTTGTTTTTAAGGGACAGCCCTGGACCAGGTTGCCACAGGAGTTGTAGATGCACAAAATTGATATGATAGTTCTGTATTTTAATATGAAATAACTATCAGTCTCACCAATCGAAAACTTTTTTCAGATGAGCTGAAACCAACCACACCATCCCCAGATGGCTGTGTCGACTTGATCGACTGTGAACCCTACACAAAGTCTGTTTGTACCAATCCAACCTACGTACCATGGGCCAAGGCAAGATGTGCCAAATTCTGTGGATTCTGTGGTAAGTTTGAAAGGTTTATTATGATAGATTTTAACTGAATCGATAGCATTTCATTCTTTAAAGTAATTCTTTCCATTATTGGCTACATGTTATTCAGTTATATAAGATCAAACTATTAGTTGAACATAGTTTTACCATAGTACATTCTAACAAATTATCCAGCTAGAGCTCCAATGTACATGATGCAATGTATCCTTTCCTTTTGACTCCCTTTCCTCAATTTTTGGTTGGCACAGGTTATTTTATTATAATTGTTGTTGTTAATATTGTTATTACAGGTAGTGGCTCAGGCACCAGTGGCACTGGTTCTGGCACTGGCAGCAGTGGTTCTGGCACAAACCCAGGTGGTGCAGGATCTGGCACAATCACTGGTGGTACAGGATCTGGCACAATCACCGGTGGTACAGGATCTGGTGGAAACCCAGGTGGTGCAGGATCTGGCATAATCTCCGGTGGTACGGGATCTGGTGGAAACCCAGGTGGTGCAGGATCTGGCATAATCTCCGGTGGTGCAGGATCTGGCGGAATCAACGGTGGTACAGGATCTGGCACAAACACTGGTGGTGGATCAGGATCTATAATCAATGGTCAAAGTGAGCATTGCATTTTTATTGGAATTTTTCTATTTCAACATTAAAATAAGAGTGAATTGTATAAAAGATACTGGCTGAAGTATATCCTAATCTTTGAAAGTTTTTTTTTTTTTTTTTTTGCAATATAAAAACTGTGATTAACAGAGTTTACATAGGTTATTTCACAAACCAGTCAATAATTGTCAGCTGCATTCTTTTTAAGCTGATTTTTTATTTTTTTGCTTCTTTTAAGGTGGCTACTGTTTATACAATGGAATTCAGTACACACAGGGACAAACGTGGCGTGATAAGTGCTTATACTCTTGTACCTGTACAAACGCACTGACAGGAAACTACAATTGTCAGACACTGTAAGTATGGATCATGGTAGTTTTAAAAAGGTTTTTGGTATTGTTTATGATACAGTAAAATAACCCGAATTGTATTTTTCCATTGCCAGGTGTAAAAAGTAAAAGAAGATATTAGTCCATGGAATTTATGCTTCGTGGAATTTTTTGGTGTCAAATAAAATTTAAGATACAAAAAAAACGGGACTACAGAGGATATGTGAAAAGTTCTACTTTCTTTAAGATTGAAAAAGCAATTGTCATCAGTATTTTTTTCGCAGAACTTGAAATTTTAATTGTAAGAAATTAACCATCCAAATGAAGCACTATACAAAACAACATTGAGCACTGTTTCATATTATTTATCAGTTCACGTTTCCATTCTTTGTTTTAGATGTCCCCAATGGCAGCTCCCATCAATCTGCTCCCTGAAGCAAGCACCTGCTGGCAAGTGTTGTCCAATCCCATCCTGTCCATCCTACATAACCATCACCTACCCTGGAGGGCTAACAGAGGCCACACTGCCATAATTACTTGACCATTNAGCACTGTTTCATATTATTTATCAATTCACGTTTCCATTCTTTGTTTTAGATGTCCCCAATGGCAGCTCCCATCAATCTGCTCCCTGAAGCCAGCACCGGCGGGCAAGTGTTGTCCAATCCCATCCTGTCCATCCTACATAACCATCACCTACCCTGGAGGGCTAACAGAGGCCACACTGCCATAATAACTTGACCAGTACATTGATAAACAGGACTGACCAATGGACATTGTTATATTGACCTCAGACCAGTGATATTTATAGGACATATTTACAAAGATGACTTTGTGCATAGAGAAAAAAATATAAAAAAAAAGATTTTGCATTTAAATAACAAAAAAAGACTAGGACATTTAGAATTAAGCAGCTGACCTGTTGATATTTTGTAAAAAAAGAATAAAAAGACTCACATATTCCAATTTGTGGTAGTTCTTCAGCTGATTTGGAATATCACTTTTATTATTTGTAATGTCAGTTAGATTTGTTCCTGAATAAATGTATAGCACAGCAAAACAGCATTTCTTATTTTCATTGAAATTGCTTAAACATGTAGCACAAATTTTAGGAAGGAATAAAAAGCAAAAAAATTTCCAAAATTTTAATCTTTCATACAATTTATTATAATATAAAATACAATTTGTATTTAACAATTAGGCGTAATCATTAGCATTGTTACTAATATCACATCAAAATGAAATATTAAGAGATTTGTTTGGGAATTTTAATTTATTACGTTGATGGTATAAGTTGAATCTGACCTCGTCGGCGAAATCCACATGATTCCATTGTTGTGCCCGAAACCGCTATTAGATCCTAGTCCACTGCAGAAGTAGTCAGCGGTGCTGCTCTATCCACAGAGACTTCCTCAAAGGTCGTACATAACCTAATCGGAGTTTTATTTCATTATCCGAAATTTTCATAATGAAATTTATCACTACGGTGCACGCATGTTTTTATTTCAATTCGGTTTTAATGCTAGTACTTGGTCGATTTGATAGTTTATCTATTCACTTTTCTTCAATATTATTCTATTCTAATAATGGCTTATTTATTTTATCATTACATTTTACATTATAGTAGACTGGTGTAGTATTTTAAGGTCGTTTTACATGGTTTTTAGCTTCATATGATTAACAGGTCAAAAATGACAGCTGACCGTGAGCAGAGATGATGGCCGTACAGTTTGTAGATAACATGTACTGTTGTTGTTATTTTCAAAATTGACTATTGCATTATTTCTATATATGCCAGTTCAAATTACATTATTATCGCCATTTCTAAGGCGATGAAGATTAAGCGCGCACAAGCGCGTGCACATGCATACACGCGCGCGCACACACACTGAAACAACCTGCTAAGCTACTGATTGCCGCAGAGAAGATAATTTCTGTTCCCCTCCAGATGGCGCTATAGAACGGTTTGGTTTGTCAAACTTGCACTGGCAAAAACTGCTCAAATTGCAGCACGCAGTAGACCATATAAAGACAGCCAGTGACCTACATAATACCATTTTTACTTTGGGGTGTGTAAGGGTCTGAAGCTTAATTTCATTAATTTAAACTAGTGTATTTTGAAATGCGTGGGTAACAAACGCTTCCTGTGCATTACTATTTTAGAACATTGTTAATCGATTTTTGTCTGTCAAATTGTGGTATTTGATAAACAGAAAGAACGGTCACCTAGCTCTTCCTGCCTCCTACCCCGACGGATCATTTGAAACCTGGACCTTTGGAAGAGATGTCACTTCTTCTTTAGTTCTGGGTGACCAGGGTGTGGATGCGAGGCGGTCGGGATACTAAATAAATGTAAGGTTTGCTGTGTTTGTTGTGTTAGCTATGATTGTGTTCGGTGTGTATCGTGTATGTTCGTATGTGTACGTGGAGGTCAAGGGTTGAAAGACCGCGCCCCATAAAATTTGATTTCCACCTGAGAGTCGGACGGAGATGCAGGTTGAATAACTGAAATAGGTATTCCAGTGAGCTTGCAGGTAAGTTTAACTATATTTAATAAAGGACCAATCCATAGTTCAAATTCATACATTTCTAAATTGATATATTTATTTTTTATGGTGTTTTTGGCATTGTTATATTTTTATTTCTTTGTTCTGTCTTTCTTGTCTTTCGTCAGTGTAAATTTTGTATATGTAATTGTTTAAAATTAATTTGTTTATATTGCTCTTGCAGATATTTGGAGATATTTGGAGATATTTGCAGATATTTGTACAATAACAATAAAGAAACATCAACCCGAGCTATCGGTCTGTTACATATATGGATATTTCAATTTTAACCGCTTCAACGCAACGTTCTAAGGCAACGATTTTAGGTATTTGTCGAAGACTTATATTTAATGCATTTTTAAAAATTGGTTTGACGGCTGCATGTTGAACACTGGGTTTTGCCATCCACCAATATTTTCCCACGTGATATTTTGTGTCCTCCATGCCTCCTTTATTTCATCACGTACCTCATGACAGCGAAAATTGCAGTTGTGCCTCATGTTAACTACACAATTTAAACTACATCGGTAGAATTAGTAGTGGCAGTTAAGTTTTACATGGGAAAAATTCTGTGGAATGGCTCTTTAACATTTTTTTTTTTAAATTTAGTGAGTGATTTTTAATAAAATTGTGTCATAATTATAGTATTGCAAAATAGTCACAACTGAAAATTAAAGAATACGATAAAGGTTTAGTGTTATGCTTCTATTTTTAATTTTGGCATGATTTCACAAATAATACCATAATAAATATTTGATATTTCGATACATTGAAATATGTGACCTTGTTAATAGTTACACTGCTTTCTGTGTGTCTGATTATGAAAGCAGCCATTTTCAAGGCATAGGGGGCGAATTGTTAGCGCCAATGTGCAAATAATGTTTGAACTTAATTTGATATTTCTCATTTATGGCTAATGTCAATATCACATTGTCCAATCAAAACGCTCTGTCCAAGGCAATTTACCATGATTTTTTTTTTTACCGACAAATTTTAAAGCCTTTTGCAAAGTGATCAAAACGCAGCGTATTTAACACTGCATAATCATTAGGAACAAAACTTAATTTATTTCGCCAAAGAATAAAATCGTCCCTTGTGCCTCTAAACATTTTTTTGCTATAACTATGTCTGAGTTTTCCTCCGTGACGTTTGTAAAACTATTTGCGGTATTTTTTCAGCAAGGCAGCAAGTTGTCACTTGATATTTATTTCAAGGCAAATATAATGCTCAAAAATGCGGATTTTTTCGTACCTGTATAATCTTTTGGAGCTTGAAAACTTGCTGTCTTGTTGAGTGAAAAATGTCATTTTTGTGGGCCACAATCGATCATTTTGTTTGTGTATATAAGGTTCACACATTAAAGACTAAATATGAGGAAAATTACATGTAGTTGCAAACTGATTTGGCTAGACCAAAAATACCTGTTAAACTGTGGATAAAAAGAACATGGATATATCAAACGGTTTTTGTTATTTATCTAAATTCGTTCTTCTGACTTGTAATCTTAATATTACAGAATTTTCTAAAGTTAAGGTGAATATATGTGCAGTATTTTTCTTTTTTTTTTTTTTGTAATTAGGCCACACTTTTTTTATTTTTATGGATGACATCCTCCGGGGATCCCGAAATCGGTGCGAGAGGGCGAAAAAAAACAACAACAAAAAACAGTCAAAAAAAAAAACTGCTTAAGTAAAGGAAAACTGTCAGTACACAGCTGGNGTTCAAATTCATACATTTCTAAATTGATATATTTATTTTTTATGGTGTTTTTGGCATTGTTATATTTTTATTTCTTTGTTCTGTCTTTCTTGTCTTTCGTCAGTGTAAATTTTGTATATGTAATTGTTTAAAATTAATTTGTTTATATTGCTCTTGCAGATATTTGGAGATATTTGGAGATATTTGCAGATATTTGTACAATAACAATAAAGAAACATCAACCCGAGCTATCGGTCTGTTACATATATGGATATTTCAATTTTAACCGCTTCAACGCAACGTTCTAAGGCAACGATTTTAGGTATTTGTCGAAGACTTATATTTAATGCATTTTTAAAAATTGGTTTGACGGCTGCATGTTGAACACTGGGTTTTGCCATCCACCAATATTTTCCCACGTGATATTTTGTGTCCTCCATGCCTCCTTTATTTCATCACGTACCTCATGACAGCGAAAATTGCAGTTGTGCCTCATGTTAACTACACAATTTAAACTACATCGGTATAATTAGTAGTGGCAGTTAAGTTTTACATGGGAAAAATTCTGTGGAATGGCTCTTTAACATTTTTTTTTTAAATTTAGTGAGTGATTTTTAATAAAATTGTGTCATAATTATAGTATTGCAAAATAGTCACAACTGAAAATTAAAGAATACGATAAAGGTTTAGTGTTATGCTTCTATTTTTAATTTTGGCATGATTTCACAAATAATACCATAATAAATATTTGATATTTCGATACATTGAAATATGTGACCTTGTTAATAGTTACACTGCTTTCTGTGTGTCTGATTATGAAAGCAGCCATTTTCAAGACATAGGGGGCGAATTGTTAGCGCCAATGTGCAAATAATGTTTGAACTTAATTTGATATTTCTCATTTATGGCTAATGTCAATATCACATTGTCCAATCAAAACGCTCTGTCCAAGGCAATTTACCATGATTTTTTTTTTTTACCGACAAATTTTAAAGCCTTTTGCAAAGTGATCAAAACGCAGCGTATTTAACACTGCATAATCATTAGGAACAAAACTTAATTTATTTCGCCAAAGAATAAAATCGTCCCTTGTGCCTCTAAACATTTTTTTTGCTATAACTATGTCTGAGTTTTCCTCCGTGACGTTTGTAAAACTATTTGCGGTATTTTTTCAGCAAGGCAGCAAGTTGTCACTTGATATTTATTTCAAGGCAAATATAATGCTCAAAAATGCGGATTTTTTCGTACCTGTATAATCTTTTGGAGCTTGAAAACTTGCTGTCTTGTTGAGTGAAA